TTTATGTTGTTGGTGTCAAATGAAAGTCTATGATTTATTAGTTAGTTCTAATAGTTAAAATTTCATAAATATAGTGTTTAATAATATAATATTTCATTACCCGTCAAGTGCCAACCGTGACTAGTGACCAGTGGTGACTGACTGAATTTCGCAAATACATGTTCCTAAAAATACCTACTGCTACCTACTAATAAATACTAGGTGCACCCAGTATTTTCTGAAATTGATACCTGTGACAGACTGTTATTTGCTTATATCTGTTCCAAAATACCTGTTCCTAGTATTTTGTATCGACTCTAGCAGACTTATGTCTTCATAAGTGCCAATTTAAGAGGTTATGTAGTGTCGATTTTATTTTGTTCAGATTTTTGTACCTTTTAGATTTTATTATAAGTTGTTTTTTGCGAACAAATTCCTTTGCCTGAAAACTATACAAGGAAGATGTTGTTATTGCGTACAAAATAAAAAGAGAGGACAAACGTCCTGGCGCTGCTCGGGGTGTGACAATAAACCGCAACTGTGTGGGGGATTGTTTCACAAAGTTTTATTTATAAATGTTGATTTTTTTATTTTATATAAAAATATATTTCCGTTTTAAAAGAAGGTAAAAGTGTATTTTGTCGTATTTTTTATTATTTATTTGAATAAAGTTTTTGTTTTTTACGTTCTTTTGCTTATTATCAAAACCGGCATGTAGTTCATTAACTTCTGCAATAACAAACGCATATTTGTTAATATACAGTTTTGGGATATACATGGACGTGTCTGTTAAAGCAGAAAATTGGTGTGTTTCTGAGTAACCTCTTAAATCTGAAAGTGTTCACCGAATAACGAAAATGAAATTTATAATATATTAAAAGCAATATTTTTTTTGGAAAGTATGACACAGGAAAATAAAATGTATATGTATATATTTACCTTATTTTATTAAAGAAAACATCCACATTAAAATGTCCCAAAGTTTAATTAATTTTATCTACTCATATTGCATAATATTGTTTTGTTTTTTTTTTCGTAAATAATGATAAACATTTTAAATTTCCTGCCTAACAACGGGAATAATGAACTCAATATTCACGTTATTAGGCATCAGTGGTTGGCCGATTTCAATATTCACTGTGATTTGAACTATTCGGGTTTTAAATTGGGCGAAGGCGACTATAATAACATTTAAAATTGGTAAAAAGGGAGGTTAACCATTTGACATTAGGGTGCTTCATTTGAAACGAACATTTTTTTTTTCCCGCTGACACATGAAAATTTTGTTCCTTGTATCGAAAAAAAAATTCCCTGAAAATTTGAGCCCTTAATTTTAATTTTCAGTGGTTCCTCTCGATCGATGTATATTTCCCATTGAAATAACATATAAATCATGATTTTTTTAATTAAAATTAACATAGCTCCGTTTGATTTCATGGTATTTCATTGCGATTAGTCAGAATTTGTAGTATATTAGTGACTCTTTGAAAGTGCCCACCAACATTTTTTTGTCCTTGAACCCGTCTCATCGGCCTCGGCCTCGAAACCCCAATTTTCTCAAAAATTGTTATATTTTCGTTTTTATCAACAAAACAGTTGAACTTATGAAAAAAATGGTCAGAAAATAATTTGTAGGAAATTAAATTTCCTACAAAAATATCCCTGTATGAATTTTCTGAGGTCCATAGTCCAAAAGGTATAAACAGTTTAATGTAAATATTATTGTAAAATGTTTCACTGAACAATTAATATTAATAAGTTTTTTGAAGAAAGTGTGTTGCACTGGTCTATAATTAAGGATTCAAAATTGAAAAATAATTGAATAAAGTTAATTGTGTTACAAAAAAGCGTATTAAAATTTCATATTTTTTTTTAGATTTTAATACATTAAACTGTTCTCTTAAATCTGAAAGTGTTCACCGAATAACGAAAATGAAATTTATAATATATTAAAAGCAATATTTTTTTTGGAAAGTATGACACAGGAAAATAAAATGTATATGTATATATTTACCTTATTTTATTAAAGAAAACATCCACATTAAAATGTCCCAAAGTTTAATTAATTTTATCTACTCATATTGCATAATATTGTTTTGTTTTTTTTTTCGTAAATAATGATAAACATTTTAAATTTCCTGCCTAACAACGGGAATAATGAACTCAATATTCACGTTATTAGGCATCAGTGGTTGGCCGATTTCAATATTCACTGTGATTTGAACTATTCGGGTTTTAAATTGGGCGAAGGCGACTATAATAACATTTAAAATTGGTAAAAAGGGAGGTTAACCATTTGACATATGTCAGATTTTATTTAATTATTTTTAAAAATAATTTAATTATCTAGTTATTGAAGTAGATATACTATAGTGCTACCTACAATCAAGATTAGGCGCATTATTTACTCGGATTTAAGTCTTTCGTTTGGCGAATCCAGACGCAAAAATCATTCTCGTAAATAATAGCCTGCATTATCTTTCGTATAATATTATACTATTATTGTATTAAAAAAAGTCCTCCTAATTAATAAATGATGTAAACGTAAAATAAAATATTTTTATCTTTAAGTGTTCCATAATTTAAACTTTATAATAATACAATAGTAACGCTCACTACTAAAGTGATATTATTATGGCTTAATATGGAAAAATCGCACAGTTAGGGAATTAGTACTATGTATAGTTATGTAAAGTTGTGCTAGTGAATTTTTGCTTGTTTGGTTTATTACTAACATGATAAAATTATGTAAATATTTATCAGAACTGTCAATGTCAAATTTAAAAAATTCAAAAAAGTTTAAAAAGGTATGTTGTAGATAAAGTAGTGTACCTACATTTCTTAAGTGGTAAAGCAATTACGAACTCGCGGACTCGCACTTGCGGACTTCTTTCGCTTGTGCGTAAATTGCTACTTACCACTCTTGTTATTTAAACTTCTATTCTGAATAAAAAAAATAGGGACCTTTTGTATGTATTTAACTTAACAAAATTTACACAATGATATAATGCAAATTTTGCGTTATTTAATTATTGATTATTTTGTCATTTTTCTAATTGAGGCGTGGAAGTACCAAAGGGGGTGTGTGCCATTTTTTGTTAGAAACATAGTAAGGGTACATACTTTCTAAAAGTGAAACAGTGAAATTTTCACTATTTTCGTCAGTGAGTTATTATTCACTGTAAAATTAGTTTTTTTCAATATAAATTAGTGAAATTTTAACTTCTCCAAATTAGTGTTTTTTATTATCAATACTTTTCCGGAACTCTCTTCATAAAATAGTGAAATTTTAACTTTTTTGAACTAGTGGTTTTGTCTACTAAACCTATTTCACTAATTTGTACAGTGTAATTTTCACTAAATAAATTAGTGCAAAGAAATCGCTACATGAAAAAGTGAGTATTCACTAATTGCTAGTGGTATACTTATCACTGCAACAAATAGTTAATATGCACTGTCAATCAGTGAAAATCCACTGTTTCATTTTTAGAGAGTACTATGCTTATTAACGAAAAATCTCGACAAAAAAATGGCACATACCCCCTTTGGTACTTCTACGCCTTAATTAAGGTTAATTCCAGATCGGGCATGAACGTTATTTACGTCGAAAGGTTAATTACAAATTTAAAAGAAAATAGTACTTTATAGACCAGGCGGAGGAAGCACATATTATCGACGAGCACACATTTTACTGCCGAGGCAGTAGATTGTGTGCGGGGCAATTAATGAGCATTCGCCGCCGTGTTTTATGTACTATTTTTTTTCAAGCATTTAATTAAATAATTTCCTACATCATTTTTAGGTTAGGTTCAACATGATTTTAGCTTTATTTTTTTACGGAGTTTAGTAACAATTTGACTTTTTAACTGGTACTAATATGAAGTCTTATATATAGTCTTATAATATAAAAATTATTGTAGGTACGCTTAAAAAATTTTTTTGTTTTCAAGCGTATAACAATGTTCATAACACTTACAAGCTTATAAAGAAAGACTATTTATACGCAGTTCAAAAGTCAAATTATTATACACCGCCCTACAATAATAAAAATATATTGAAATTACATACTCTCTAATAGTGAAACAGTGAAATTTTTACTATTACCGTCAGTGAGTTATTAATTCACTGTAAAATTAGTGTTTTTCAATATAAATTAGTGAAATTTTAACTTCTCCAAATTAGTGTTTTTTATTATCACTACTTTTCCGGAACTCTCGACATAAAATATTGAAATTTTAACTTTTTTGAACTTTTTTGAATTTTGAAATCGCTACATGAAAAAGTGAGTATTCACTAATTGCTAGTGGTATACTTATCACTGCGGCAAATAGTTAATATGCACTGTCAATCAGTGAAAATCCACTGTTTCATTTTTAGAGAGTAGGAATCAGAGACTGGTAGGAATAGTGGGCCTATCTATCAAGTTTAGATCGAAATCAGTATAAAAAACTTATTTACATTTTTTTGGATCCAGGTCACTGTTGAATAAATTTATGTACATGACAAAATGTCGCTAACTCGATAATTTCAATGTAAGTATAGAATTATTACAAGCTTGAAAAAAATAGTATGTTCAACACGGCGGAGAAAGTATATTAACTGCATCGCTCAGATCTGCAGCCTCGGCAGCCAACATTGAGGCTCAATGATTGAGCTCGGCTTTAAATAAGCGCTTTCTCCGCCTGTAAGATAACGAACTATTTATTATGTCAGTTTATTACTAATGTATATAATTAAAATTATAAATAATATAAAATATTTTTTCCAATAAAAGTAAATGTATATTAAGATATTAATTATAATTCATAATACTAAATTATTGTTTGTTAAGTAAATTGTAGATGTAATAGATTTTTAAAATTAAATTTAAATACAATAATCTTATACCTAACAAATATATTAAGTTTAGGGAAAAATATTCTGGGATGAGATAAGATATGACTTTAATATTATTTTATTTATAAATTACTTTAGGTATTACATATATAAACATGTAAAATAAATTCAATTAAATCACTTACCATAAGCCAGGAAACTGCAAGCAAGCACAAAAATGTAGCAAAACATTTTGAATTTAATTTAGTAAATACCGTATTACACACTATACTCCCGAACGCGTTTCGTCCTCGCGACGACGCGGATCCTTGCTGCAAAGTTCAACATGCGGCGTCGAAATGAGCGTTTGCGAAAAAGCGGCGCTTTGGTCCTGACGCCCCCACGAAAACTCGGAATTTGCGCCGCAGTACACTGCTGGAAATTGAAAAGTTCACTCCGCAGAATAGTCTGCAGACGATAATGAATGGAGTGGGGTGTTTAATAATAATTAGAGTTGTAGATTACTTAATTTTGAAGGTCTTTCAAATCTCTACATTTGGGCGTATTCGTTTTTAAAGTCAGTTGGTTAGTTCTCGAGATATTTGAAAAAAAAAATATTTTTTAATTTACTTTTAAAGGCCCTATACCACCAAAAAACAACAAAAAATAATTGTTTAAATTGGTTTGTTTTGTTTTATTTTTAATGTTCAATATTTTATTGAACAAAAATGCTTAAAATTTTGACCATTATTAGCCAAACAGTGGTATAACCGTAGTTTAAAATCAGGGCCAACATTTTCAAAAACAATTCTTTGAATTAAACGGCAGTTGTTTATCGTCCTTTGATAAAGCTTCTCTAAATTTTGAGGTTAGGGGGTCTAAACAACACACTTTAAATGATTCGCCCTATCCATTTATTTAAAAATACATTGATTAACCATTGTTGAACTATAAGATATGATGGGAAGGAGGTCCATCTTGCTAAAAATGCAATTAATCCTCATCAAGTAAAGAATTTTTATCTCCATCAAGTTGATTTTCTACAGATTCAGTAATCAACGAATTAATTAACATATATTAATATAATTCATTTAGATTCCCATTGATGAACCAATTGGCCCCAAAAAAATCCTGCCCATACATTATTTTTTTCTGGTTACTGAATACTATAGATATATACTATAGATATCAATAAACTGATAAACTGATGATCCATACTTAAATATCTAAGGTGCAACCATTTTTCTGGTGTATTAACCATATGCATTTTATCTTTTAATAAAACTCTAATATTTCCCGAAAAACATAACAAAACTAAAAATAATATAATACTAAAATAATATTTCTGCGGATATTTTAACGCTGCGTTAGACCAGTTAGAAAAATTGTAAAAGATAATTTTTTAATTAACTTTAGAGCAATAAATAGCTAATATAGAAAAAACTTTTTGCTTGTCTAAAATTACCACATTATGTAAAAAATTGTTGAGGTATTTTGAAACCATAATATCGTTATTTTATATTTATAAATATAGCCTATAACAATTACTTTATATAAGGAATATTTGTATATTTTATAAAATATACAAATATTGCTTATATAAAGTAATTGTTGTAGGCTATGAATTTTTATTTCGAACTAATTTTATTAGTGTAAGCATCGCGTGTTAGACGGTATCAGGTGCTTTTAAAATGGCGGGAAAAATACCTGTGCTCATTTCCCTGTCAAGGTCAAAGTTATAGGTGTGGACTGTGACCGTTCAAAGTTTTGCTGTTAAATTTTAAATACACCATTTTCTGCTTATCCATTTTTTTAAATGGGTTTCTAAAAAATGCATATTTTAATATTTAAGTCATAAATTAAAGCTTTCTCCCTAGATTAAAATTCTGGAAAATAAAAAAAAAATCTAGTGAGCACGTTTACCACATAAAACTAATATTTTATAATACGGACATAAAGGACTTAAATTCATTATAAACGACGAATTAATATTCAAATTTGTGTGTGACAAGGACCTGAATCTGGAACAGGAAGGACGTTTTCTAAGCTTTAATAGCGAGCAATATGGTGGTAAAATACAGTGCAATAAGAGTCACCACATACGCACTTAAAACAGGAAATACCCGTTCAGGAATTTCAATTTAATGGAAGGGCATGCTTTATTATATTATATTAAATAATAGATAGGTATCCGATAACATTAAAAGTGTTGTATTTTAGCGAACTTTTCAATCCAATTAATTAATATTTCATCAAACAATTTAACTAATTAATCAATTATGATATTGAACCTTAATCATCTCCACAACCCTTTTGTAATGAATGGATACTTTTATTTAAATTTTTGACAAATATTTGCAATCTAATAGTGATGGTAAACAATTTTATCGACAGGTATAATGTTTGGCAATACCTTCTGCCCATAGTGCCTGCAATGTATAAATATTTGTATTGTAAATTGCCTATCATCGACATTAGGCTTTTACGCGATTCCTCGCCTTGATCATGCCAAATTACACAGGGGTTGCAACAGGTTGTATTATATTATTTTCACACGTAAATATATAAAGGTTATTTAATGTAACTTGAATCATATAACTTTTATATATTTTAAGTGTGATAACATTAAAAGTAAGAATCATTATAAATCTTTATTATCCAACAGACCATAGATATGGTACAAACATTAGATTGTTAAATATCTACATATTAAAATATTCTCCGATATTGTAAAATAAATTATTGGTAAAAAATAAATACCATTGACTTTTAAACACCTTAAAACTATAAATATTCTTTAAAGACCTTCCTATATAGTTTATTAACCAATTTGATGCCAACATAAATAGCATTATTTTTATAAATGGTGTGAGAGTGTCTTGGGATAACCAAATTGTCCCCATGACGGATATTATATTATATCATGCATGATTAAATTATTAGGTAACAAAATTGAAATTTTTTGTTTAATATATAGAATTGTTTGGAACATAAATAAAGATGGTAGAGTCATTATTTTTAATTCAAGGAAAATATTTCTACAAGATGTTAATTTAGACGCTCCAACAATATTTCGAATAGCTCTCTTTTGCAACCTAAAAACTTTTTGAGAAGAACTTGAGTTCCCCAAAACATTATCGCATAATTCATTCTTGAGTAAAAATGTGCAAAATAGTACGCCATGACTACACTTCTACTAGCAACCTGATTTAATCGGTACAGTACATAACAGCTAGAGAAAAGTTAACTACATTGTTCATTGGTATGATGTTCCTAGCGAAGGCCTTTGTCTATATGTAAGCCCAGAAACTTGGCCACGTTTACTTGTTGGATACTTTAATTATCAATTCTTATCAAATAGCTTTTATCTGCAAACGATTTTAATTCGATAAAAAAGTTGTTTTTGAAGGGGTTATAAATATATAGTTAAGTATTTATAAACAATTCAACAACATTATTTAATATTTCTTGAGATTTTTAAATTGTATCCGATATTTTGTTTTCAGCTTTAAAAATCGACGTATGGTCTGCAAATAGAACTAGGTCTCAAGAATCTACTACATTGGCCAAGTCATTGATAAAGATTACAAAAAGAAGTGGCTCCAAAACTGCCCCTTGGTTTCCACTATTTGCTCCCTGTTTGATAAATAACTTTTTAACCAATCCGAAATTCTGCCTCTTATTCCATACCTACTTATTAAGCTTTTCCAACAACAATGAAGGATTCACCAAATCAAAGGCTTAAAGGTTTAAATCTGGGAAAATACCGACACATTTGTTTTTATTATTAATAATTTCATATATGTTTAGTAAAAAATTCCTTATTGCAGTATTCGTAGATTTATCCTTGAAAAAACCATGTTGGACAGAGGATAAAATATCGAACTTAGTGAGAAAATTTGTTATTTTTAAGCTAATTATTTTTTCAATAACCTTTGATATAGAGGAAATCAAAGATATTGGCCTATAATTTTCCATACTTTCTCGGTTGACCTTTTTATAAATTGGAATGACTTTAGCTGTCTTTAGTGTATTTGGATATATACCGGTATACAAGTAGATAATAAATACTTTTTTCAAGCAGATTTAAAGATATTAAATCCAAGCCAGCTGAATTTGAGTTTTTAAGTTAATTACAGTGTTACATACTTCTGTTATAGTAACACCCTCTAGATTGCATCCTAAGGTGCAAAAACTTAACTAGAATTTTTTATGGAAATGTTCAAAGTTTAACAAATAAATTGGATTTAATTGAAGCTATTACTGAGGAAAGTGTAATGGATGTTATGTGTTTCAGTGAAACGTGGTTATCTGAACTAACAATGTCGTATTTAAAGCTAAATAATTATGTATTAGCTGCTTACTTTTGCAGATCAATTCATGTACATGGTGGTGTTTGTATTTTTGTTAAAAATGGTACTAATTTTAAAAAAGTTGATTTTTCTTCAGTAGAGATTGACTCTGAATTTGCAGCTATTGAGTTAATTAAGCTTAATACAATTATTATTTGCTTATATAGATCACCACTGGGTAATTTAAAAGCATTTAAGGAAAACATAAATACAATTTTATTTAATATACCAAAAAACAAAAGTATTATAGTTTGTGGGAATTTTAACATAAACTTTCTAAATAATAACAATATAGACGTAATTGAAATAAGAAACTTATTTAAAATGTATAATATGTATAATCATGTTAAAGAGCCTACTAGGGTGACTTTAATGACAAGTACACAAATTGATGATATTTTTTCAAATTGTCAAGATAACGTTAATTTGTGCAAGGTTGTTGAATGCCATTTGTCCGATCATAAATCCATCATAGTTGAAATAAATAATAATTCTAATACTAAGTCTGTAAATAATTTTAAACTTGTTGAAAATTTTTGTGAGAATAATGTTTTAAGTTATATCAATCTTGTTCAAAATATAAATTGGGAAAGCTATTATGGTCTTTGTGATCCAAATGATCTTGCAAATTTTTTAGTAAATAACTTACAAACTGCTTATAAAGCTGCCTTTCCTTTAACCAAAGTAAAAGTAAGTACAAATAATGTTTGGTATAATCAAAAGCTAAAACGTATGAAAGATTTTTTAAATTTTTTAAATGATAATCTAAAAAATTCTAATCGTAAAGAAGATTATAATTATTATAAAGAGTATAAAAAACTCTATAGGCTTGAAATAAAAAAATCAAAACTTAGTGCAAATATCAACTATATAAATAATAGTGCAAATAAACAAAAAGCTGCTTGGAAAGTTATTAATAACAATAGGAATACCAAAATTACTTCACAGAGTACAATAGATGCGAAAACTTTTAACGATCATTTTTTGC